TACTTAGATGGGTTGGTTGACAAAATCGGACCCGGCAGACGGCCTTGACGAGACCTTAAAGGCTGAATTAGCCGCACTCCAACCCAGCGATGCTGAACGCGCCCGCCTCCACGGCATCGCTCTCGTCATCTTCCTGCTGAGTCTTCTTGTCGGCGTTCCAGTCTGGTGGATGACCACCACACCTGAACAGTACTCCCTACCAGAGGATATGGTTGCTCAACTCACTCAGCAAAGAATCACCATCAGTCTTGATGTACGTACCCCATCCCGCTCTCGCGCTGCCTCAGAACCCCCTGTCTGTCTGTCTGTCTCAGCCTCTGAAGTCTTTTTCTCAAATGTCTTTAGGTAGTCACTCTTAATCTTGACCCCTGGTTATCCGACTCCGACCTCACCGTCCTTGAACGCACGCTCTCTGAGTCCGCTAATGCAGTGCAGCGCAAAATGGAGTCGCAAAGGACACAAACTGCACCGGGATCAAATCCTGCAGACCCGGGGATCATTGTGAATTATCGGTTTTTCGTTCGACGCCAGCAGACAGATGCAAGCTTATTGGCAGGTGACCCAACATCCTCCTCGTCACTTGTCTCGGCGCGGCTGGAAAGGCATATTTTGAAGTCAGGCCTACTTGATCGCCTGGAAGTGAATGATGGAAAGCAGACTGTCAGGTCTGTTGTGTCCTTAAACTCTCAAAATTTGTGTAATATCTTCCGGCACTTTTCATAACTTCTCGTAACCGATATCTCATATGTTCGACAGCCTGGAGTCGAACCGCATTTCATCAGTGCCTCGCCACCTGTCATTCTCTGTCGCCGCAGATCGGGTATTTATTCACTCAGGAATGGGCACACACCCATCCATTGACTTCCCGAAGAAAAAAAGCTTCGTATGGGTGATAGTGGTTACGAACGGGCGACCGCCTACCAGTCCGAAGTCGGTCAAGCTATGATAACAGAGGGGAGACGGCAGCGTCTGTGGGGTAGATTGATACAAAAGTGTTGCGGGCTTGCTTCTCCTCATTCAGCCAATCATAGCTCTGATTACCGGTCGGTACTGGAAGCACAAGCATGCGCTCACACACCTGGCGCAGCTGGTTCACCACTGGGGTCTACCAGATGGGTCATAAGCACTTCATCGAACCGAAGTTCATCAGTGCCTCGCCACCTGCCATTCCCTGTCGCTGCAGATCGGTTATTTATTCACTGACGATGCCCACAGGTGGGCGCAGCGGCGGTGATTTGCGCACGAATTAGTCTATGGTGATAGTAAACTTGTGCAGCATCTCCTCATCTCAAGACAGAGTAAGCACGACTAGAGATGGACTCGAATGCACTGGCTAACAAAACCAAAACAACCGTCTACGCGTGCCACAAACGACCTGGTTCGCGTACACCGAGCCAAGTTTTCAGGGAAACGATGGGCAGCCTAGGTCCCATCTGAGTAGGAGCGCCGTAGGGGCCACATTGAGAAGGAGCCATTATGAGCCGACTCTTCATTTTGGAAGGAAGACCGAGTTATCCCGGTAGTCGATAGCCTTCCACACCACTTTTTAGCGCACCGTGATGGTTTGCGAACGCGTCAGACCGTATTTAGGGAATGCTCTAAAGTACTGTTGAGACGGAGTCCCCTGAATCGATTTCACTCCCTCTCACAGACACCGGTCCGCTATCCAAACCGCTAAACCACAGAAACGCCTGAGGAGTTGTGCCGTGTCGTTTCGCCGAATGCGTGGCCCCCACTGCGGTGCCTGTGTCTAGTCGACCTCCCTTCCCCGTCTGTTTACGATCATTGTTAACATTGTCGGCGTTTGCCCTAGTTTTACTAGTCATACTCGTTGAAAGTATTTTTAAAAGGAAATTTATTCTCTCCAATCTATCCGGCCTCTGCTGTTTAAAAATATCAATGTTAAACTAGACGGAAATAATGCTTCTGCACATGGGCGGGGAATTAATCAAAACTCCATCCCGGCAATCTCAAAAATAATTTTTTTTCAACCTATTTCGCCAAAATTTTGATCGACATCGTGCATTTTTATTCACTTTGTCAAGAAGAAAGGGAGGTTGATTGATATACTCTGTTAAATAGAACAGCATTGCCGACAAAGACAAGGGAGACTGGAATGGCCATTTCGGGCTTCTTAGCTCTCGTCAGCTAGTCATACCCAACCCCGAAGTGTGGAACACCTGGTGCTCGATCCCGCGACTTGTTAACTAGAAGTCCAGCGCCTCTAACCACTGAGCCACGGGCTCGTTGTCCTGTCGGTTCCGTAAAACCATCGGTGAGCGCCTCTCTACCACTCTGTTAAGTGTTTATAACTAAGAATGCACAGTTTTTTGCCAACTGTAGTACGTTGAGCGTAGCCTGGATCCAACAACTGGTCATCGCTACAATTTTATGGCGTCTGGCATTAAGGCGCGTTATCTGCTCCAACTATCTCATTATTCTGCCAGTCGGTGTATCGATCTGTCGCCGGCATACGGGGCTCTGCGCAGTCACCTCCACACCCGCGGCACTGATCGTTGGTCGCCTGTTCCGTCGCTGCTGTCACCTCTGACGATGGAGTCCTGCACGAGTTCAAAAGCTCAGAAAAATCAAAAATTATTCTATCCTTCTTCCTTACTCGTGCGCAACTGCATCTGCAACTTGAACACCCGCCTTCACTTTATTTCCTTTCTGACCACCTTTTTGTGCATCCCCTTGCAGTGCTGATGGAGCCTTCTTCTTTGTGATTCTGCCCCACCAAACTCCAGTGCGTGCGAAGGGTCTTGTCCGCGATCTTCCCTCAAGAAAGTTGATTTACCTGTGGTCGCCCTGCACCCCGACTCCTAGCTCCTCATCGGGTGGGGTCCCGTCGTGCAAGGCCGGTGCAGAGGAGCTCGCCTCGACTATCCTCCATTTGTTGAACAACAACCTTGTCATTCCGAACAAACTGCAGGTACGTCAGTGTACCCATCAGGGTTCCCTTACTCCTACACATGTAATTTGCAGTGCGCCTCTTATGCGCGGACTAACGCCGCCCCGCGGACCGAGGGTCGAGTTGTGATGGCTCACTTTTGCAGTAGATATGCCATCTCATTCAAAATTCCAACATGCGTTTTCAGTTTGAAAAGCTCACTTAAGTAGGGTTGTTGTGTTAACTATCGTGTCGCATAGTGCTGAAGTATTCCAGCTGCGTCAGAATTGCGGTTTTCGAATGAGCTTCTAATGGGCCGCCTGCGTAAACTACATTCTGCAGGATAGGACTACTTAATCAGTATGGGCTTTCTCCATTGATTTTCGATGTTATTGTAAATTCAAATATATTTTGTGGAAAACATCCACAGAAGCATTCTTCGCTTTACTCGTGTGGTAGTAACCTACGTTTTCTCCTAATTCCATGCCTGAAGAAAGAGTATCTTCCGGTTTTAAAAAACGTTTCTAAGACCGCGAAATCGCGTCAGCACATTTATCGTTGCTGCTTATAAAATAGACAACTTGGTCCACATCCACTACACAATATTGTGAGCCTTACAGTAAGTGGGCTAACTCATGAAGTCTCAACAGAAATTCTCAAATGCGTTTTCGTTTCAAAAAGATTAATTAAGTAGGGTTGTAAAACTAATCATCATGCAGCATAATTCTATAATACTTCAGTTACCCCAGGACGCCGGCTTTCGGAAGAACGTCTTTCCGGCTGCATCCAAAAACCATACTTGGTTAAAAGTGACTACATAAGTAGTGGGCATTTTTTTCATTGATTTTCGATATCCCTAAGGATTTTATTATATTTCATGGAAAACATGCGCAAAAATATTCATTCTTTTGCTGATTCAGTAGAAAGTTACGTCTTCTTCCAATTTTATACTCGAAAGAAGGGCATAAATTGGTTTTATAAAACTTTTCCAATTCCCGAATAATTTCGAACCCGACCTGCCGTCACGCTTGCATTCAGGGTTTCAAAACTACAATCTGTATAATTTCCGCGTGCGGAAAACCACACATTTCTCTACCGCATTAAGAGGAGACGATATGGGGTTCATAAAATTAAGCAGTGGATTTGAACCACATTTTTACCTTTACAAGCCACATTGGTGAATGCAGAGCGATGACGTTTTATGAACGGCCATTGCACGGTATTAAAAAATCTCACAATTAGAAACTTTTTTAAGGATGGGATGGGAAGACAGAAGGAAGTCGATGCTGCTCATGCTTTCCTTTCTGTAAGACAATCCACTCCCAAGCTGCCGAACGTAGTTGTGAGCGTCGTCACGTTTTGCGAAGGGTCTGCCATTAAGTAAGCCAGACTCATCATAACCGCTTATCAGAGAGTATGTCCCCGACGAAGTATCGGAAAATTCTGCGGTCGTTGATCGAAAACCTGTTCCGATTTGACCTCCCCGCACACGCCCTACCGAAACTCTCTCTGCAATGCATCTACAACAAGTTGCGGTTTTAGACGTGCCCCCAAAAATTTGGCGACTACTGGCGAAAAACCTCATAGAAAACCTTGCTACCACACCCGTTTGCCCTTGGGAAGAAGACTGGTAGCGACGCGGTTGGCCAGATTCGAACTCAGCCCATGCACCTCGCCGCTTACGTTGGAATTAGTCACAACGGAACATTTGAAAGTCATCGACAGTTCGACCGTCGTTTCTAAAGATGTCCACCGTGTGCTCCACTGCAAGACGGAGCATTGACGGTGAATTGCGCGTCACCTAGTTTAGAGTGAATGTAGCCTTGCGCAGCATCTATTGCGCTCCCCTCCCCCCCCCCCCACCTGGACTTGGTGTAAAGACAGAGTCAAGAAAACCGGAGGCGGGGGAGGGCGCGTGTGGATGGCACGGTCGAGCCAACACCTTGGCACTCCACTCCACACCCCCTCGTCCACACAGCAAATGACGAGGATTTTAACCAACAACAAAAGGGTGGAGGCTGGCGCGACCGAGGCTGCACCTAGGGGTGCTGCCACACCTTTTTCGGTGGCGACATACGCCATCTGCTGCGTGGTTTTATCAGGCCTCTTAGTCTTCATTCGTGGTACACTGGTTTTGCTATGCGACAGGGTTCAGCACACCTTTTCCATCAATATGACATACGGTAGGTGGGCTAACTCATGAAATGTCCTCCGAAATGCGTTTTCGTTTCGCAAAGATTAACTAAGTAGGGTTGTAAGATTAGTCAGCCTGCAACATCATTCTACAATAATTCAGTTTCCTCAGGATGCCGACTTTCGAATGAACTTCGTTTCGGCTGCATGCAAAAACTAGACTAAAAAATAACTACTTAAGTAGCAAACCATACATTTCTCTACCGTAATAAAGGGGGACCATATAGGGTTCATGAAATTACGCAGTGGATTTCATCCATATTGTTGACTTTACAAGCCACATTGGTCTTGATTCGTGCTACACTGGTTTTGCTATTGGACAGGGTGCAGCACACCTTTGCCATCAATGTGAGATTGTCCCTTAATCCCCCTTTGGATATGGTGCCGACACGGTTATTCTGAATCATCCATTAAATTTTGAGGTCCTGATGTGATTCTGTTGCAGAAAAACTTACCGTCCGGATGGCACAAGCGCCCTGTTGTAGCCTGCCAAGCTGCGCGCTTCATAATACACCAGCTATCTGTGTGCGCAGGGACCATCTTAAGGACAGATTTAAGTTGGTGTCGACGGAACACCTGTCGTCCTTGTTACTTCTGTCAGAGCCATTGACCCTGTACGAGTCCCGCGGAAGCACACGGACCGCAGCTTTCCCTTCGTCAAAAAGGACGATTAAATTATGACTCACCCGGCGGTTGCGTGGGATGCGTTTATTAGAGGCATAGGTTCCATGTAATGCCCGAATGGGCGTCCTCATCCACTCGACCCCCTTTCAATCCATGTCCTCTTCCAGAATTTGACATGAAGCCATTTTGGATGATTGCGGACAGCATTCGTTGTTTCGTAATACCGGCTGGGCTTGTGGCTTTTTTTATAAGTAACCGATTTGCCAGCCTAGCCCCTAATAAGGCTTAATGGTGTTGTCAATGCTGGGCCCGGTACTGCCCGTTTTTCAAACCCCTAAGACTGCCGTTTTTAACAGCAAGCTTTCGCTGCAGGCTATTCGACTATCCGTCACTTGGACGCTCTGGATAGCACGTGACAGACTCCGTCTTCTCAGCGCTCCTGTCCCACGTGTGGGTGCTGATGAGTGTTTCCGCCGGGTTTCTTAACACAGTGTGCTCAATCAGTCCGTACGGGCTTTTGGGTATATCCGGACGTTGTTTATTTTCTTAACTGACAGTCACAGTCAGTGTCATCAGCGTTGATGTATTTGAGACTCCTGTCTAAGGTCCTTGCTTGAACAGCCGCTCCACCTGAAACATAATATGTCGACCGTTCCAAGTAACGGGGTCAACTGCTGTCCTGTCGACACAGTGGTGAAAAGCTTGTTTAGCATCCACCTACCTCCTATATTACCGTGCCCATTGCGTTCAGGGGACAAGACTGGGTCAAGAAAACTACAAATGTTACTTGAGTGCGCTGATTTCCGAGGCTGAAAGTACGTCCATGCGTGTCACACGCTTGTTGATGTCTAACTGCACATTAGCCCGGGGAAGGAGGCAGCCTTGGCCTTCGTGTCAATGACATATTTTATAGAAAACATGCACAAAAGTATGTTTTCTTTTACTCTTTTTGTAGAAAATCACATTGTCTTCATATTTTATGGCCAAAGAAAGGTCAGCTTTCGGTCTTGAAAAGTTTCTATTTATGAGATTTTTAAGACCGTGCGATGTCCATGCATGCAAGACCGCGCATGTCCGTTTACTAATGCTCCTCTTGAAATGTACAACACTTTCCGGATCCATTGAAAAGCTTCATGAACTCTATGTGGTATCCTCTTAAAGGCATAGAGGAATATATGATTTTCCTTACGCGGAAAGCATGCACCTTGTTGACTGAAATTGCTAAACGCCGATGCAATAGCACATCAGGCTGAAAATTATTCGAGAATGGGGAAACTTTTTAAAACCTAAATACACATCTTCTTCGGGCATAGAATATGAAGACAATGTGGTTTTCTACCAAATGAGCAAAATAAAGCAGATTTTTTGTGCATGTTTTCTATAAAATACTAGCCGGACCCCGCCACGCGTTGTTGTGGCTCAATCTGATGAATTGGGAAATAAGGGAAAGAGGAAGGAGCACGTTCCCAATTAACAAAAATGTAAGGGTCACCGGTTGGCGGTACGTATTGTGTGCGAAACCCAGGATTGTCCTTCTAGCCGCTATCGAAGGCAGGGCAATTGTTTGCTGCGCGCAGTCGCTCTCGAGGATTCCGGAGTAAGTGGTGACGGCTGGCATTTATTTCGTCCACCGGTGTCGATCGAGGCAGTGGTGGCCTGAAGTCTCCTGCAAGCAGCAGCAGTGCATCAGAAATGGTCTGCTGTTTCCTCGAAAATCCTGCAGTGTTCGATCGGGGGCCTTGAGCGCTTTTTTGCGCCATTGTGAATTCATCCAAAACAATGGCTTTGCATTTCTGCAGTACTTTTCTCATGTCGGATGCTTTGGAAATGTTACATGAGGGACTTTCAATGAATTGCTCATTCAAAGGCAATTTCGAAGCTGAATGAACGGTTTTTCTGCCAGGTAGCAGAGTTGTAGCTATTCCCGGGGATGCAAGTGCTAGGGCTACGTCATTTATTGGATCGAATTGCCGCCAGAATCGGTCGTAGTAGGACCGTTTTGCCAGTCCCTCCTGGCGCATCTACGAAGAAGATTCCTCCAACCCCGTTACTGACATTACGCAGTATTTGATCGTAAATGTCATTCTGCTCCAGTCTTAGCTTGTGAGTCTTTGATTGTAAGCATTGCAGAAGCTGAACCGTGTTTCGTTTTGTTCATGGCGCCAATCCACATCAAACGAAGCAGCAGTAGATTGGGTTTGCGGTGACATTCCCAGTTGATTAAGAACTTTTTTCGCGATTTCTGCGTACATATCCTCAATCAATATTAACGCCTCGCTGTAGATTCCTGTTGTGCAAGCCGCATTTGAATTTTCCTTGCATTGTTGACGGAAGGTATCTTCAGCCATCTGCAAATTCTATTTCTCCGGTAAATCTGTTGGAGATGATGAGAGAATGCGGTCAATATGACTGCAAGCAATCCATGAATTTGATGTGTATGGGACGTGTTGCAGGCGTCATTAATACATACGTCCTACTGTTGATCGTTCTGCTGTAACTGAGGAGCCTGACACGCACTGCTGAAAGTGGCATTTGTACCGCCGTTGACAGATTTCAATTGCTGAAAAGACGGTGGACCGGGCACATTCACCACCACCATGCGAGGTAAGATTTGGATTCACGGTTTGCAGTCTGCCTATCGCAGTTCATTTGAGCATACCGGAGCGACCGTCCCCTCACTCTCGTCGTTTGCGTCATTCGGATGATTTTCTACACACATTCCCTGTGTAATATGTAGGCACTTTCCAATGTGGCAGTGTTTTCGCAAACGCGTCACTTTGGCTTAACGTGGAGAACGTAGTTGCCAGTGGACCTAAGGCAACCTTTTGCACATTTGCATCGGTAAAGTAAACGCATTGCCCATTCTCTAACCGTACTGCAGGCAAACAACACCTGGACTTCGCTCATGGATGAGGAACTAAAGAAGTCGTCACATGGATTTCTTATCGTTAACGCATCGTCCAGCCCAATACTTTGCGACTTCACTGTGTTGTATGTCCGCATCCCTTTATCTCCTTTCGTGTTGCAGGCCAAAAACGGCCATGTCGCCGCCTTTATTCACCTGCTTACATATGTACCTAATTCATTTCCCAAAATTGCAGCGTTCCACGTTTATGTGAGCTGCGTTTGCTTTTTAAAGCAAAGGCGAATAAGAAGCAACCGAGCAGTTACCGGACTTCTATGTCACCGATTCGCATTCGTACGGTCGCCAATTTGCAGATGTCTTCCGCTGATCATTTTCGGTATAAGGGACTTCCGTCTATCATGCCGAGGGGAGGAGGGGGTTGTAGAATTTGGATTCAGTCCATCAAAGGTTCATGTATCATATTCTTCGTCACAACTTCATGCAAATCATTGTCGACGTCGACATCAGGTAATTCGGCGCATACTGCGTCGTCGATTTCGTTGGAAGCGATCTTGTTATAGAGCCAGATCAGGACATGTGCATGGGGCAGCCCCCTCTTGCCGTTCCACCTAATACATTCAGCTGCTGTTTTCGATGGAGGAATTACAGGCAGTATTTGCCTGAAGTCTCCTGCAAGTAGTAGCAGTAATCTCTCCAAATGGCCTGCTTTTTCCGCGCAAATCTGGCAGTGCTCGATCGAGGACCTCGAGCGCTTTTTTGCTCACGGCGCAAATCCACATCTAACGAAACAACAGAAAGCCGGTTTGATGAGGACATTCCCGGTTGATAAGGAACTTTTTTCGCGATTTATTACGTATATATCCACAATCACTATTAACGCCTCGCTGTAGATTCCTGCTGTGCAATCCGAATTTGGAATTTTTTGCGTAGTTGACGGAAGATATCCTCAGCCATGTGCGACTTATATTTCTCTCATAGATCTGTTGGAGATGAAGTAGAGCAGGCGGTCAGTATGATTGCAAGCAATGCACGAATTCGATGTGGATGGGACGTGCTGCACACAACACTAATGCAAACATCCCAGTGTCGGTCATTTTCCAATAAATTGAGGGCCTGGCAAGCACTGCGAAATGTGGCGTGCGTAACGCCATTGTCAGATTTCAATTGCTGGAAAGACGTTGAAACGGACATATTCACCAACACCGTGCGGAGTAAGAACCATTCGTCCTGATTGGGATGCACGCGTGCAGTATGCCTATCGCAGTTCTTCTTAATATGCCGAGGTGTCCATCCACTCGGTTCCCTCGTTTGCGTCGAACAAAAGATTTTCTGCACGCATTCCGTGTAATACGTAGGCACTTCCGAATACAGCAGTGTTTTCGCAAACGCGTTAGTTTGGCGTAACGGGAAGAACGCACTTAATGTGCGTTGCCGGTGGCCTGTTGCACATTTGCATCGGTAAAGTAAACACATTGCTCATTCACTAAGTGTACCTGATTTTTGTGCATGTTTTCTATAAGATATATCTGAATTTATAAGGCCATCGAAAATCAATAGGAAAAATGCATGCTACTTAAGTAGTCGTTTTTTTCCGGGTGTGGCTTTTGTAGGAGGTCAAAAAGAAGTACTTTCAAAAGCCGACATCCTGGTGGGTCCGATATGTTATAGGGTTATGCTGCATGATAATCAGTATAACAACCCCACTTAAGTAATCCTTCCGACTCGGAAACGTATTCCAGAATTTTGACCAGCATATAATGAGATCGGTCACACACTGTAATTTAAGAGTTTAAATCTACAGGGAGCGCAGATTCCTGGTTCACCAGAGCCAACATGATACTTCAGCCTCTGTACGTAGTTGTGAAAAGCTTTTTTAGCATCTACCTGCCTCCTATATTACCATGCCCATTGCGTTCAGGGGACAAGACTGTGTCAAGAAAATTACAAATGTTACTTGAGTGCGGTGATTTCCGAGGCTGAAAGTACGTCCATGCGTGTCACACGCTTGTTGGTGTCCAACCGCACATTAACCAGGTGAAGGAGACATCCTTGGCCTCCGTGCCAATGGGAGTTGACTGGGGGCGCTGTGGAAAAGTGTCACGTTCGCTATACTTACCAGGGGAGAGAGATAGTTTAGACGGTTGACGTTGTTAGGTGAGGGCGCACAAGCCGCCGCCAGCGAGGAATTACGAGGATGAGTTACTAGCCCGACCACATGTCCATGAAGCCCAGTCTGAGGCCCCGCGCAAGGTCTGTCACCATTGATGCTGGCAAGAAATGTTGTGTGGCCTTATAGTGGTGCTGCGTCCGAACAAGACGCTCACCTCCATGCGACCCCATGCAAATATCATGTTGCCATGCCTCTAGAATTGCGCACCCCCCGCCTTTTATCCTCTTTAGGCAGCCTATGAGTCAGTGTGGTGGAACGGCAATGATACGCACTCTCTGGCTCCCGATTTGCAAGGCGGTCGCCTGTTCGCCAACCCCACCGACTACGCCGCCGTCAGGCGTGATCTAGCTCGTCTGCGCACCCATCAGCTGCCACCCTCTGGCTCCTACGAGATAACAATCACGTTGGTTAGTGCATTCTCGGGACCACGTCTGCCTGTCACAGATGACTGGCTCTGGACGTCGTCTAGTCAGGGACACAGTCTTGGTGATTGGCTTCGCCTGTCCGTCGAACCCGGGCTTCTTGACCTCCAGCGCTACGTCCGCTTGAACATGTACTCGCAGTACTTGTACGCCGTTTCCCTGGAAGGATTCCAATCGAGGTACTTTAGTGCTACCTGTCTTACGCCTCTTTTGCACTTCTCTTACCCTACAGGCTCTCAGAAGCCTAGGGGATTTGCAGCCGATCATTCCATCCCTCGGGAGGACGGCCTATGGCGCGAGGCTGTGGCGTCGCGACCAGGTACAATTTCTAATGAGCCTATTCAGCCAGCCGATCCTACTTCACTACAGATTGAATTCGTCCTACATCTGTGAGGGTCACATGCTTGCATCGACCTTTGTCCTGCATATCTCCCACACAGAACCACAGTCTTATGCAGAGGCGTC